GGGCCTTCGACTTTCCTCTCGTGCACCGAAAACTATTTGTTTTACTACTAACCTCAGTAATACATTTATTCCATTTCCCTAGTCAGAAGTCAGGTTCAGGTGCGATTCCATCCATGTTTCCACTTCAAATTCACTAAGTTTCCGCTTTTCCCACAAGTTTTTCATAGAACTTTTATCTGTTTTCTGAAGACCGAAAAACTATATACCGGCAGTTTGACAACTGAACGTCAGGCTATCAAATATTGTGACACTTAGAAAATTAATGGGTAATTCAAAATGACGGTTGAACACGAAATAAAAAACGTTCCGATTTTTTTCAGCGACAGTTTCAGCGAAAAATCCTGGATCCATAAATTAAGCCAAAAAACAATCAAAAAGTTTGAGGAAAGTGATAATTTTCAGACTAAATTGCGAGCGGTGTTGCTAAACTGCGCAAAACGTTTTAAATCAATGAAAATTGTTTCCTTGGATACCTAGCATGTAGATTCATTCAATTTGGGTCGGTTTAGATTATTTATGTCTTTCCAGGTTATAAATTTTTTATTTTAGTATGTTTTTTCAGTTTCATTGAAAAAATCACTTCAACTGTAATAACTCAAAATTAACCGAAAGGAAAACGCAAAAATACGTGGCAACACCGCATTTTATTGAATTCGCGAAAGAGGCAAATAATCCACCATCTGACTATCGACGCTCAAACTTTCACAAAAAATACAATTATTATGCATCTTAGCGACAATTTTGTCGTTTTGAGTTATAAATTGTGGATACTTCAAACTCGATTTAGCAGCAAAAGCATCGAACCACCTGATTTTCGTGCATAAATAAGTGGTTTTGGCAAAGCGAATTACAAAAGTTTGCAGTTGTTTTTCGGATTAATTTGTGGACCTTCCAGGAATTTTTTCGCTGAAACTGCTTTGTTTAAAGCGTTCTTTCAGGTAAAACAAGAAAAAACTGAAAATTTGAAGGGACTCAACACCTTTAACGGGTACTGCGGTATTATTTGGATTAAAAGAAGACGATCTAACCTAACTTTTATTAACAAAAAATGTCTGGCTCCTCTGCTATTGATGGTCAAAGTTCTTCAAAAAATTGATCTTTTTTGCAATATCGGGAGAATGGTACATAGTTTTTGCGGAAAAAAGGCTTTACGCAAGTTGTCTTCGCAAAACCCTAATACTTTGAAACGAATTTGTAAGATTTATTGACAATTAATTTATGCCTCGTATCACAATATTTGCATTGAATGTCTAACATTGTTAAGTAGCAAGGAAACATATATTTTTTTGCAAAAACTATGAATGCTACAAGATTTTACAAAGAGCACAAAATTGTGGATACATGATTAGTGCACCAACCTAAAATAATTTGATTTCATGCTCCAACTAAAAAGTTCTGGTAGTTTTTGTACCACGACACCCAGGAATTCACCACTTGTCCACAACGGCTGAACTCGATTGTTTCATCAAAATATGAGTATTACATAAGAACAAATTCACAGCGTTTCACCAAAATACATCGCACCATTCGCCGGATATTGTAAAAAAGATCAATTTTTTGAAGAACTTTGACCATCAACAGAAGAGGAACCAGACATTTTTTGTTAATAAAAGTTAGTTCAGATCGTCTTCTTTTGATGCAAAAATATGGCAGTACCCTTCTGACCATCTACTCATGTGCTTTGATGATCATACACCCTGTATAATAGCTTATTTCTCGACCTCGGCATATAATATACAATTTGGTGATCTTTGGTGGAAAATAGCCCGGAAAGGAATAAGGTTTTGAAAACGTTGCCAAAACAGTTAGAAACGTGGGTAGCGAAAGTTGTTAGTGTCCACACAGGATGAAGAAAATGAACATCCAATCCAGAGCCGACACTTCAAGCTAAAAATCCCAATAACATCAAAATGAACACGCCAGTTTCAGACTACTAGTTTTCATTTACAACTTTAATCATACGAATACAATAATACAATTTGTATTCAGCAACACAGAGAAACAAATGCTCTTAAGTACAGCATTACGATTCAGCAACATCTAGATGCAGAGCATGAGGCTGTTGCCTCAACCTACTACTCTTCCTTGATCTGGCCGGCCGCATCCAAGATCACCTCAAAGGAGAAGGGTTGGAAGGCGTAGCCAGCGCCCGAGTAGAACTTGGAGCAGAACTCTACCCTGCAACCGAGCCAAGTGAGGTAAAACCACTGAAACCAAGACGGGGAGTGAGCGAACGTACCAATGCAGACGAAGAGTGTGGAGGAAGGCGGACAGCCCCTCCATGAGGACAAGGATTGAGATAGTGAGGGCGCCCCAGACTGCGAAGATTATGTAGAGGGCCACACCGCCTGCCCACCCTTCCACCGTCAGCCCCTTGTTCAGGACCATGCCCCACAAAACCTCCGACAATTCTGCAATTATTTAAAAAGAAAATTAAGTGTTGCCATTCAAAGGAACTGCACAGGAAAAGTTGGTACTCACGTGCATGAGCCAGCGATAGAGCCCACAATCGCAGATACGAAGCTGTATGGGAAATCGAGCCCAAAACATATTCGATGGTGTGGATCCCCTGATGGATGTAGATCTCAGACATCGGTTCCTCATCCATTTCATCCTGTCCCTGTGCAACTGGCGTTTGCGACGTGTTATTGTGAATCGATTGCTCAGCGTCGCCGTTTTCCGTAGCTGAGTGCAGCTGGTTGTGGTTCACCTAATCATCGAAAACTGCAGTCTGGATGGGTTTGCATTACATGCCACTTACTAGATGAAGGCTTGCCGCCTTTCTGGCGCGCTGAATCATTAGGGGCTTCGCCAGCAACATCCAGGGGATGCAGACAAAGGCGCAAAACAGCAGGATCTTCTGGATGACCATCTGTCCTGGGTACATGTCCGATGTTATGCATATATCCTCAAAGGGCGTCTCCTTGTTCAGCACCATGTTGATGAAGGTGATGAGAATCGATGGCGCGCAGCGCGTCCCCAAATGAATGTACGTACCTAGAGACCACCACACTCATGTTAAATATTTGGTTCAATTTTCGCTTGCTGCTGTTGCCATCATTATTGCATTCATTTCGGTGAAAGACTTTTGACTTACAAGAACAACGTTTTAAAAAGGTTTGTAAAAAAAAGAAAAATTCTGGATTTTTTGGACTCGCCACAATAAATACACCGGAATCTAATAGTTGTCGAAGTTGTCCAGAGGCTTTCGGACACGACGCTGACTTTCACGCAAAAAAACCTTTCAAAACTGTCTGTTTTTCAAACAAGGCCGTGCCCGAAGGTTGCTGCACAATTTCGACAACTAGTAAATTTCAGTCTATTTGTTATACCGAGCCCTTCGGGCCCGCCACTGGCTGAAGAACAGTAACCGACAAATCAGACAATTTGGAAGCTTTTTTGCATTAATATCAGTGTCGTACCGGAAGGGTTCTGCACAACATATGCATAAGAATCTAATGCATCTTCGCCCAAGTAGATTTCGACATCCAGAAGGGAATATATTAAGAATGTACTTGTTGTGCCGAGCCCTTCGGGCACATTTGTCTCAATCACTCACGGTCGTTGCTGGCAAAGTACTTGAACCATTTGATGAACATCAGGATCACCATGTAGAAGAACAGGAAGCTGAGGAAAATCACCTGTGGAATAAACTCGCAGATGATGTTGAGCCGATTGTTGAAGTGCCTGAACGATAGGAAAGATTAAAGCTAGAAGAAAGAGGCCAACCGTGTGAGTTTCCTTACATGTTCTTGAAGTAGCTGATGGCCACTCCAAACAACATGTGGGTGATTCCGATGATGATCGATAGCTTCATCTTGAAGGAATTGAGGAAGATGATTTTGTTCTTGGACAGTTGCCAGACCGGATCCAACCCGAACGGGTACGGGTAACCTGCAAGACCAACAATGCGCTCTCAAGTTCCTCCGACTTCAGTTCGACTTACCAACGTAGTCGGTACTGGCAGGATCCAACATGTGCTCAGTCTGCATGTTCAACACGTAATCTTTGGTCACATTCGTAACCTTCCAACTAGACCCGAAAATATTCAGAGACTTTGCGAAAACATCGTTGTAGATCAGGCCCGTGTACATGGAAAAGAACCCCATCAGCATGATAATGTAGCGGCCGCCAAAGAAAATGTTCCAGATCTAAACGGGAAATGTTTTAAGTGAATTTGAACCCACGTTGTTGAATGAGGAAAACCATAGAAAATAGAACCACCAGCTTGGTACCTCATTGTCAGATTTCTTGGCCGCTAGCGGTTTTTCATTCATAACCATCCAGACGCCGAAGAGGGCCATCAGCGTGCCATGCCCAAAGTCACCAAACATGATGGCGAACAAGAAGGGAAAAGTGATGATGGTGTAGGGGGTCGGGTTCATTTCTCGGTAGGAGGCGATTCCGTAGGAGTCATACAGCGCCTGAAAGGCGGTGGTGAACTTGTTGGTGTGATTATAAGTGGGCGGGTCTTCGGGCGTGTCCATTCGGTTCAAGATTGGCGGCACCGAGCTGCCACTGCGCTCCTAAATAAGCCCCAAAGTTATAACCAGCCCTACTGATCGGCAGCCGTTATTACCGTTCCACGTCGCAAAGCCAGCTGAATATTTTCCAGATCCAAAACGGGCACCCAACATTCGGCAATCAAACACTTCTGGGTGACGTCCAGATTGAAGAGATTGAGCGTGTGGTAGATCGCCTTGATTTTGCGCACTTTTACAAACCAGTTCTTGATATTTTTGGCGGCCGCCACTAGAACGCGGTGCCGATGGTCTTGCGTCTGGCCCAGAACCTAAAGAGGAGCCGAATCAGATCCGGATGCGGCTTCTAGCGCCTAGTCCCCTACCGTATTCAGGTCTTCAATGCGCGTCATCACGCCCATGGCCATTTCCCTACGATCGGCCGGTGCTTCCGGGCAGGGATAGAGAGTCGCTCTGAAGCCTTCGCAGATCTTCTTCACGCGCGTCTTCAGCTGGTCGCCTTGGAAGAAAATGATGAACACTGATTTGTAGACTTGATCGCCCTGGAAAATGTCCACTAGTTAAGCAAGTGGCTTGGTAGTCCAGTCCGATCAGACTTTAACAGGCCTGTTTCGCCGCCAACAAATAAACGGGTTTGTCTCATATCATACATAAAAAGAAAATGTTAAACGTTTTTAGTAGCATCAACGGTTCAAAAGTTATGCGAAAAATGGTATATTACGGTTCCGCCACTGCTTGAAGTTGGCAGTGGCGGACCGTCGACTTTCGTCTCGCGTACTGTATACTATTTTTGTTGATTCTCGGTGGAAACTAGCCGGGAAAAGTATGAGGTTTTGTCATGTTCCACAGTTCTTCATCCATTTAGTGCCTGGAAAAATCTAATCCGACTGGATTATGGTGCCGGCCAGTTTACGTCCGCTGAGGGAAATCCGGAAATATACTCTCGAGATAAAAAAATCTCCGAATCTGAGCAAAAAGATGCATCTACTTATAACTGCGTTAAAGGGTGATTACCGTTGAGGGATCCTCCAGAGGAGTTTCAATCTCGGCCTGGCGCAGGAAGACGTTGCCTCTGCAGGCCCTCCAAAGCATGCGCTCGAACGCAGGAATCCGCTCCCGCAGAATCACTCCAGCGACGAAGCTACATTTGGAACCAGAACCTAATTAGATCAAAACAGCTCTGGTGCACATGTAGCTACAGCATAGCAGAAGTCTTTGAATTGACTTGCTCAGAACGTCTGCATTGCTTTGACTATTTCGCACTATTTTATACATCCAGCAACTGATTGAGTTACCAAAGACTATACAAAGTGGTTAGTGTTGACAATAGTCTTTTGCTTGGAGGGAGCGGAAATTTCAACAGATTCTTTGAGCCAATTATCGATTTGGAAGCCACAAGCGCCCGAACCAGCAGCTAACACTACAGCGCCACTAAGCGAAGCTGGTTTAGTCAGTTTCTAACATTTAGGACAAATTAAGGAAAATTCTTTACCATGGGTAGTATTCCTCGGGGTCGTATTGCTTCTCCGGACAACTGTTTTAAGTATAAAATGTTTATTATTTCAAGTCAACTGGCTTACACATACAGGAAAGAGGCCATTCTGTACAGGGTGTTTGGCTATGAAAGTTGTTTGGGATTTTCCCATCATGGTTTTACAAAAAAAGGAAAATGTTTGAGCAAATTTTCTCACATCAACTGGCATTTTTTGCGCCCCTGCTTTCGCAGTAAATCTCCCATAATGAAATATGATCTTTCGGATTTTATTAGAAGTCTCGCAACATTGCAAATGTCATTTGCTAGGAAGAAATGGATGGTAAATAGGCGAAAATTGCAATTGTATCGTTCGCTATCAAACCACCAAAAATAGTTTTTGGTGTTTTTTTTGTGCTTTTTTCGGCAATTTTAAGCATGCAATGATTTTTCCAAAAAAATAACGCTTTTTTGAACGCTTTTTTGAAAAATCGTTCAAGACCCCTTGACTAATTTTCAGCTAAAATCGTCTGGAAAAGTCGAAAATTATAACATAATTGACGTAGATTAGGAAACTTTCAAAATACTGCTAAATTATTATTAACAAAAATATGGTTTAGGGTGAAAATTTTTGAAAATTTTCGTAATTTTGCCAACAAATTTTCGCATTTGGCACTATTCAAGACCAATAGATATATTATTTTCGTGAACTTTGTAGTCAAGCTTTCAATTTTTAGTTAAATCCCCGTTTTGTTAATCCGTGGCTGAAAATATTTGCCCTTTTTTAGGGGGCACTCGATTTCAAATCCAATCCCCCATTCTCACTGAGCTACGTGAAGGTTTTTCAAAAAATTGTTGTATTTTATCTAAATTGCCGAAAATTCATCAGGCTTGGCAAGATTGGAAAATAAAGCGAAGTGGAATTTTATCTTCTTCAACAATGATTGAGCATTTTGAGTGCGTATGAATTCTCAAATTCTATTAAAAGTCTGGCAACACTGAAAATTACGTCAACTTCTTTAGTTAGTTCAAATTCGTCTGAAATTCGAAAATCGCACCAGAATCACCGTAGGTTAAGAAATGATTGAGAAATGAAGAAATGATGAGAAAAAACTGATTGCATGAGGAAAATTATGCGAAAAAATGGAAACAGTGGAAATGAAATTTGCTAGGCAGGAATGGAAGGTAAAACCGCAAAAAATCCAATTATATCGTTTATCGATTTTATCGTTTTTGGTGGTTTTCGCTTTTTTGTTCAAATTTCAGCATAACATTAGCATCATGGCAATGGGTGACGCTTCTAGACCTCTTGACTTGGTACTCAAAATTCGCAAAAATTTGGTTTAGTGTGGAAATTTTAGAAAATTTTCTTATTTTGACCGAAGAACTGTCGTATTTCGCATGATTTGAGATCAAATCGATCTATACATTATTTTCGTGCGCCCTGTTACCAAGTTTTCAACTTTTTTTTCATAAACCAGAATTTTTTAAAATTTTCTTTCTGTGGCCGGAGAATTGTCGGATTGTACATACGAAAACAAACGGCAAATCGCCACTTGTTTATTTATTCGATGGTTAAATTTGCTTGCGCGACTGTTTAGGGCTACAGCCGAGGGCGGCTGATAAAAAAATTGCCCGTATTGTCGTATTTTTATCTAAATTTCCGAAAATTAATCTCGCTTGGCAACATTGGAAAATAAAGCGAAGTAGAATTTTATCTTCTTCAACAACGATTGAGCATTTTCAGTGCGAATTCTCGAATTTTATTAGAAGTCTGGCAAACATTGAAAATTACGTCAACTTCTTTAGTTCAGATTCGTCTGAAATTCGAAAATTGCACCAGAATTACCGTAGATTAAGAAATTTTCAAAATAAAACCAAATTGATGCCCACAAAATCCACAGAAATTCGGAAATAATTACTGCAATAAAGTCTTCGATTTTTTCATTTACTTAGATATTTATTCTGACTTTTTCTGTATAACTGATTGCATGAAGATTATGCGAAAAAATGGTGGAAATGAAATTTGTTAGGCAGGAATGGATGGTAAAAACGCAATAATTTGGTCAAACTTCATCATCAAATTAGCATTATGGCGATGGGTGACATAAAAAAAAAATTACCCATTCGCTTTGACGCTTTAAAAAAAATCTTTCTACACCTCCTGACTTGGTACTTTAAATTTACAAAAATTTGGTTTAGTGTGGACATTTTTGAAAATTTTCTTATTTTGGCCGAAGAACTGTCGGATTTTGCATCATTCGAAATCAAATCGATCTATACATTATGTTCGTGCGCCCTGTTGCCAAGTTTTCAACTTTTCTTTAAAGGAATTTTACAATAAAAAATTTTACGTTTTCGGGTTCATCCATAAACCAGAATTTTTGAAAATTTTCTTGCTATGGCCGGAGAATTGTGGGATTGCACATAAGAAAAAAGGGAAAATCGCCACTTGTTTATTTATTCGATGGTTCAGTTTTGCGTGCGCGACTGTTTAGGGCTTCAGCCGAGGGCGGCTGATAAAAAAATTGCCCGTTTTTTAGGGGACGCTCGATTTCAAATCCAATCCCCCATTCTCGCTTAGCCACGTAAAGGTTTTTCAAAAAATTGTCGTATTTTTCTCTACTAAAATGCCGATAATTAATCATGCTTGGCAACATCGGAAAATGAAACGAAGTGGAATTTTATCTTCTTCAACAACGATTGCTCATTTTGAGTGCGTACGAATTATCGAATTTTATTAGAAGTCTGGCAACATTGAAAATTCAACTTCATTAGTTTAAATTCGTCGAAAAAAGTCGGCGAATCCTACACCATTCTAGACCAAATCGAGCTATACAATATTTGCATGAGCCCTGTTGCCAATTTTCCAACTTTTTCTTAAACAAATAATAGCACCCAAAATTGGACCCAAAAAAAAACCTTGTCATGCTTTTAATGGGAGCAGGGCCGCAAAAACGCACTGTTTTCGAACGCGCCACTTAACAACATTAATTCTATAATCCGTTAACTCCCTACAACTTTCACTTCGGAAACTTTCGCAAAAAGCCACTCATGAGGGCGGAGCTGACAAGCAAACACCCTGTACAAGAGAAAAACGATCACTGGATCGTTTCCTACATGTTGTTAGCGTGCAAGCAATTCAAAATGGTGCATGTGGAGAAAATGATCCATAGTTGTGCTAACTGAAAACGATATATACAGGGTGTTTAAAATGGATTTTCAGATGGACCTCGCGGCATCAATTGCGGTTAAGTAGACTGCCCGACTCAATGAGTCTCAATGGGACTTAGATCTGGTGATCGAAGAGGACACTTGAGCAAACTGGTCATTGCAAGGAAACAGACAGTCTACTTAACCCATGCCCGTGCTAGTCCTTGAAAAGTATCGACAAAAAAACGTTTCGAACCGAATCCAATTGAATTCGACACAGTTCAGCATGGATGTAAATGAATTATGCATTACTGAAACATGCAAATACGTCCGTTTGCTCACGATGGTTAAATGGGGGATATAGATGGAGTGTTAGAACGAAGTTAGATGACGAGCACCGAATCAATGAACGTGTGGAGGACGTAACTTATACGTACCCGAGCTGCACGGGGCCGGTTTGCCTTGCAATAGAATCCTCGCTAATGAGGGCCCTCGTCATAGATTCAGTGGGATTTGTGCCCCCCTCGTGCTGCTCAACAACACAACACATTAGCAAACCCAAGTGACACGCCCCCCATTTGCAAGCGCATTTACAAAATGCGAACAAACCAAAGACAACATTCATTCGCCCCAACTGCCCTGTATATAGGTACTATGACGCAACAAGGCACATAAGGTCAGTGAAGGAGCTTTTTATAAAGTGAGGACATTTCATAAAGCAGGAGTCTGGCTTCTCTCATTTTTTTCCCGTCACATTTTTGCACTTCTGCTGTCTTCAACTGATGGCTTTTAACGAACCAGACTATCCTAACTTTTTTGTCGGAGTCTTGCACTGCGACTGCGTGAGAAGTGTGTTGTATTAAGTGAGGATTTTTAATGAAGTAAATTTTTCTCACTCTTGGGGAGCTTTTGCACGATTTTCTGACGAAGCACTTGATCATTATTTGACAGTAACTGACGAATTCAAGATGAAAGAAGGACTGGATCGATTCAGAACATTAAAACAAAAGAGTCTTCTATAAAGTGAGGGTTTTTAAAGAGTGAGAACTTCTGTACTTTCACGCAAAACATATTCTAACGCCAAACTCGCACTTTGATGGACACTGGCTGTTCATCTTAAAGTGACTGAAACGTTCAGGACACTTAAATATAACAGTTTTGTATAAAGTGAGGGCTTTTAATTAATGAATCGGACTTTCCTCACTTTTTTGTCGGGGTCTTGCACTGTGTCTGTGTGAAAAGTGTGGTATTAGTGAGGGTTTTATTGAATAAAATTTTCCTCACTTTTGGGGAGCTTTTGCACGATTTTCTGACGAAGAACTTAATCATGATTGGACAGTAACTGATGAATTCAAGATGAAAGAAGGACTGGATCGATTCAGAACATTAAAACGGAAGAGTCTTCAATAAAGTGAGGGTTTTTAAAGAGTGAGATCTTCTGTACTTTCACGCAAAACATATTCTAACGCCAAACTCGCACTTTGATGGACACTGGCTGTTCACCTAAAAGTGACTGAAACGTTCAGGACACTTAAATATAACAGTTTTGTATAAAGTGAGGGCTTTTAATGAATCGGACTATCCTCACTTTTTGTGGGGGGTCTTTACACGATTTTGTAACCAAAAACTTGAATATTATTGGACAGTGAATGTAAGACGGAACAGATCCAGAACAGTAAAATAAAACTGTTTTCTATAAGTAAGGTTTTGAAAGCCAACCTCAAACAGCTTTGGGCACCTCAAAGTGCCTAAAGCGTTCAGAATACTAATTTTTTTTTGTATAAAGTGAGAATATTGGCAGGACGAGGCATTTTCGTCACTCAGTCCAATTTAAAATCTTAAAACATGGAAAAATTGATTATTTCCTGCTTATGAACGTGTCATTATTATCGATAAAAGGTGGATAATCCCAACCAATTTATTATCCGAATGAATCATTATCGTTGACTCATGATTTAAATGACGAGTTAATCCCGTATCCGGCTAATCTCTTGACTTCGGATAGTTGAAAAGATAAGAAACAAAAAGCCCCCGGCACGTCTGAATGTTGCCTTTCGTTTGCCCTGCCTGTATTAATCGAACTGGAAAATAGGAAACAAAAATACAGACAGAACAGCTGGCTGACTAAATCTAGTATACAACACCTAGCATGAAACGGACTACAAAAATTAAACAAAAAAAAAACACTAAACTTAGTAGAGATGCAATCAAGCTGCCAGCAGTAATCAATTGCAGTTAATCCCCAAGCAGTCAAACAGCAGAACTCAATTCATGCAACCCAAACCAGGCTGTTAATTGTGTTAATTGATCAATAATACTGCTAATTAGTAAAGAGTGGCTCAGAGAATGTTTCAATTTCTCCCAACAGTCACACCAACAACACAAACACTTTGCTTAGGGCTACGGGGTTAAGGTGGCGATGGTTAATCTCGAACTAAAAGAACTGAATATGCCCTAAAATGGGAGGAACAACTGAACTAATTGACGTGGACTTTTTTGTTTTCGTCAGTTGTTGCTCCACTTTGTCGGGACACTCAGTCGATTCGTTTTGGTTAAATCACCGATCACGACATAGAAACAGGAATCTTGCCTCAACGTCTTCCGGTAGCTGACGCAGTCAGCCGTGATGAACGCGTAGTGCTGGAAGAAGGCGAAAAATTACCAAAAAAAAAACACGCCAGTCTGATGCTACGAAACGCCAGCCTGATTAGTTACAATTACGTTTATTAAAAACTTTATTGTTAGATTTGCTTGCTTGGAGGACAATCCGAAGCTGGCCGCCGACACAAAGTGGCCGCTGTCTTTGGTAACTTGCCAGCTGCTGCTTGTATACTAGCTGATCGCAACAGAGCGCTGAGTGGTAGCTGACTGGAGCAGTTCGTTACCACTAAGCCTCAGAGTCCTTCCGGGTTTTTCCAGAGCATGAGGCAACGAAAACGACATGCGAGCAATACGGTCTAATTAATATCGGTGTTGCTTAATGAAATCAGCGGCGTTTTATGACGACGACAATGATTTCGCGTCCTACTAATTGAATCTGCTGGCATTGAACTTGCTTTATACACGGTGTCCCGGCGACAGCTAAAGCAAGTGAACACTTAACCGGTATTACTTGTTTCACACATTTTATGGACATTTTTTAAGTCATAGTTTTTTAGTTATTCGAAGTGAAATTAAATGAGAGTTTTTGCCTCGTTTTCCAGAAAAAAAGTCAAATGAAAATATCGACCCTAATTTCAGAGCCTGACGCTTAAAAATGTTACAAACCTGCCTTAAAATTTTGAAACAAATAAAACCGACTACGCGCAAACTTACTCTCCTCTCTCGTTGGGACACCCTGTACATAGCACGTAAGCAGACCGTCTGAAACTGATTTCACTTGTTCGACGGTTCTACTGGGGAAACCTGAAAGATGGCTGATGAGAGACGAAACAACCGATAGTGTTGCGACTGACTGAAACACGGTGTCCTCAAAACATTCATCTACAATGTGACACCGTATTGCTAGCGATGTCTTTTCGGGGGCGGGCCCCATTCTGGCGGTGATTGAAAGAAAAAACTAACCCTAGTTTGAGAGCTTGGCCGCCGGCCCTCAGCCCTTCTTCGCCTAGCAGAGTGACTTGTTCCTCCTCACGTGATGGATCGGCCATCTGGGCAGAGGCCTGGTGATCAGCCTGGTGACACATTGCAAGGCCCCCAGATGCGAGGGTTAAGAAACGGAAGGAACACAAACACATACCCCGGAAAACCTTGGCGAAAAAAACACAAACCCCGGGCAAACGGCGAATCAGTTAGGAATATAGACTTGGCTAGTGGTTGTCGTTGGAGGAATTTTGGCTTTGATTCCTCAACCTCATTCGTTACGCTCCTTGTTCATCGTTTAATAAAATTTCGCTATTTTTACTTTTCGGATAAGGAATCAAACGTTCCAATGACGGATGTCCCTGTCATCCAATGTCATTGTCAACGTCAATAACCGTCCGTCAAGTATTAATCACGTCAACTTGTCTTAGTATAGAGACAATGTTGTAAGTTGGGTTCAAATAATCCCCAACCTCTAAAAACTTGAGAAAGGAGGCTCCGAAATTTTCATTTAAATCGCCCAGCATTCTGATTTTTGCCAACCCTGTAAATGATGGGCCAAAAATGCACATTTACACCCCACTGAAGGCTCTGTGTTAAAAATTCCTACCCTCCAATCCAGAAAAGGCAGCCATTTGAAATTTGCTCACAGTATAGAAGACACTTGGAACTGAAAACTACTAAAGTTCCAATCAAATTGCATAACATTTTTGCCAACCCTGTAAATAATGAGCCAAAAAAACAATTGTACTCTACTGCAGGCTATAAGTTAAAAATTCGCAACTTTCCATCAAGAGTCGGATGCAGCTTGAACTTCGCTCACCCGATAGTATGGATCTGAAGCTGAAAACGCCGAAGTTTTTAATACACTGGCAAATAATCCTTACGTTTTCCAACCCTGTAAATGGTCAGGCAAAAATGAACATTGGCATTCCACTGACGGCTTTTATTTAAAAATCCTTAACTTTCAGTCCAGAAATGGCAACAACCGGAAATTTGCTGAACCGATAGAAGACAGTTGAAGTCGAAAACTCTGTAAGCTTCAATAAAATCGCACAGAATTATGATTTTTACCAACCCTGTAAATGATCAGCCAAAATTAAATATAATTCATTGCAGGTTTTTTTTGAAACATTCGTAGCTTCCAATCCAGAAACGTTAGCAATTTGAAATTTGCTCCCCCTATAAAAAACACGTAAAACTGACAATTACAGAATTTTTAATAAAATGGCACAGAATGATGATTTTTGCCAACCCTATAAATCATGAGCCAAAAACGAACATTTACACCGCCGCAGGTGCTCCTTTAAAAAATCGTAGCTTTTTACCCAGGAGCGGAAGGTACCTAAATTTTGCGCACCCCATAGAAAACACCTAAAGCTGAGAACTACGAAATTTTCAATGAAAGCGAACCAATTCTGATTTTTGCCAGCCCTGAAAATGTTGGGCCAAAAAATAACTTTCATACTGAAATTCACGCTACCTAACCTTTGAAAAATCCCACCTTTCAATCCAGAAACGGCAGCAATTTTAAATTTGCTCACCCTATAGAAGACACGTGAAGCAGAAAAATGGACAATCTTCAATAAAATCGCACAGAATATTGATTATTTCAACCGTGTAAATGATCACCCAAAAAATCAACATATAAACTCCACTGCACGCTCTTTATTGAAAATTTGTAAATTTTCACCCAGGGTCGATAGCAACTTGGAATTTGCTCACACTATAGAAGACACTTGAAACTGAAAATTGGAGAAATTGTACTGCAATCGTACAAAATCCTGATTTTTGCCAATCGTGTAAATGCAGGCTCATCAATGAACTTTCACATTTAACTGCACACTTTCATTTAAAAAAGTGTAACTTGCAAGCTAGAGCCGGTAGCTACTTGAAATTTGCACACCCTATGGACGACACTTAAAGCTGACAACCCTGAAAAATTCACTAAAATCGTTAAAAATTCAGAATTTTTCCAACCCGATGAACGAAAAATGAACATTTGTAACTTCACTGCAGCTTTTCGCTTCAAGTTCGTCCCTTTCAATCAAAAGCCGGTAGCAAATTGATTTTCGCTCACCTTATAGAAGACACTCAAAGCTCAAAACGGTGAAACTCTCATTCACATGGCACAAAATCCCGACTTCAAATTCAGAGCCAAAACTAAACAACTTCTAAACTTTTCACACACGTTTCAAAAAACCTGCAATTTTCATTAAAAAATCGCTCAATTTGTTTGATTTTCCGTCCAAACTTTTCCTGGTCAATCAAGCATTTTTAAGTCTATATTCCCACTTCCATAGCGTTAAGCTTCGCATGCGCAGCCCGGTTAATTGGACACTGAAATGCTGGATTAGTAAACAGCCCTGGTAGAAATTGACTTGTAGTACTGGGTGTCCCATTTTCCATACTTTTATAAAGAGTCCCCAAACAGCAGTAGAGGTAGTATTGAAATGGTAAAATCAAAATGTGAAAATTTTTGCTTGCTTTAGAGAAATATGTAGGAGAAAGTAAAAAATTGTCAATTCCAAAATGACCCTATTTCCTTAGTTAAAAGAGATGCAGATAGCATGATGTGCCGTGTTCAGAATAACGGGGTCAAGTTAAAAAGTGATCAAACCTTCAATTTTTTTGAAACGGAACACCCTTTATATTTTAATCTAAAAAAAACATAATTTCGATTATTTTTCAATAGCATAAAACACTTTAGAAACCGTTGGATAGGAACACATGGACCTATAAGGTGGCCATCACCATCACCGGATCTAACACCTCGAGACTTTTTTCTTTGGGAAATGTTGGAAAATAAAAATTGATAAAGTTGATTTTTTTTCATTTTCTCCTGTATTTCTTAAGCGAGCAAATCTATTCGAATTTTGATTTTAGCCACTACTACTTTTTTGACGGTCCTAACAATTGGGACACCCTGTACAAAAGGGAGGCCTTGTGATTATCCAAGGATTACGAAGAGCGCCTGACTACAAGTTAAGTAAGGAACAGTTTAGGTAAGTAATCCCGAAGATTAGCGCAGTCATTAAACCATCCGAAATGTGTCTGGAATAAGTCGCTTTGGATCGCTGATGAATTATGGGCCCGCTAATCGGATTATCCGAATGCCTGACGAGCACAGGACGGCATACTAGTAATAATAAAAAAATACTTTCATTGCATAAGGGGGCAAAGTTACGTCGACCGTTAATAGAACAGCATTTCACTGATAACGACCGTGTAATATCTCCCATTCATGATTTATTCAAGTGATGATTGTGCTGTTTGCGTGCCGGCTTAAAGTTAAGGCAACTTATCATTTGTTCAGCGTAATAGTAATGAATTATTATGAGGTCAGTAAACAATCAAGCTTTCACTTTTACGTCCTGACACCAGAGTAGAACTTAGTTGAGTTACTGAGGTTCCACCACCAAGAACAAACCCCATCAATTAGGAAATAAATGCAATGTGAAACCAGGCTGTAACAATAAAATAACGCAATTTCCACACATAACTAAGGGAGCTTCCACTCCTCTGAAATATTCATCTGGCGTCATATAAAACTGGATTAGTAAAACAGCATCAAATATAGTAAAGATGTTAACAATGGGGGGGGGGGGCAGATAAATCGACAGAAATTAAAATAAAAATTAAAAAACCAACCAAGAACATGCAAAGTAAGATGCTGTATTCAAGCACAATGTTAGATTAAAAGGGGGAGTGAAAACCAAAAAAAAAAAAAAAAAACGGAAAATTAGGTCTCCAACCAAACATTCCAGAGCAGAGCGACTTACAAAAATATGAAATGCTGCGTAAGTTGAGTTTGTTGGATTTCCTGATTTGAGTTAGAGTTGGAAATTTGATCCTAGAGTAAATAGAGAATTAGCAAAGGATTCCAACAATAAACAATATAGCACACAAAATTAAAAACTTCCTAACTGATAACATTGACGAAATACAGCATCTTACTAGAAGAGAATTGAACAAATTTGAACATTCCGGTAAGGAATAAAATCGAAATTTCGGCAACAAGTTGCGCTCGAAAGTCATGCTAGGTGATCGAAAAAAAAATTGTAGTCGTTTCCTTCGGACACTCACCTCGTCAAAGAACACTTGCGTCTTACGTAAAATCTGCTTCAGCTCGGTCAACTCCAGGAAGTTCCTCTTCAAAGCCTCTGCGTTCTGATTCACCTCTCTCAGCTCATTCTCCAGTTTCTCAAAAGTCGCCTAGAGCAAACGGAACCTCAATTCCCCAACTCTAAACGGCTCCAATGCTCCTCACCTCTAAATCGATCATTTCCCTTGGCTGGGGAGCTTCCGGATTCTCACCAGTGTCCAGCATCGGAATTTCATCTTTTTTGATCTCCTTCTCCAGGTATCTCAACTTTCTCTCCATCTCGTCGCATCTTCGCACCTCGTTCACGAACTTCCGTTGGAAGACGTTCACGTCCGGGTTTAACTGGAAAGATTAGTGGGATTAATTTCACCTCAATGTGGTGCTGGAAGTTTCATTGCAATCCAAGTTTCGGGCGATTTATCTAGCTTACTGTAGGGAATCAATTGCCTTCAAATTTTGGCTTTCAAGTTTTTAACGGTTTATTGCTGATTAACGATGAAAAAATTGCACTTAAGACGCTGAACCAAAAATTGTGCAGTTAGATTGTGATAAAACCCTATGAGGCCAAAAAGACGATCTTACAAAAAGGTTCTTTGGAATTATGCCGATATTTTGAACGGTTTTCTAGATAGAACCTCTTTATTATGGAAAGACAGCTCTCAAGACGCTCTATCAAAAACATTACATTTAATATTGATGTATTTTCGCCCGTTTAAGAGATATGCATGAAAATATTTATCAAATTTTTCCTGTGTATATTCAGAGGTTAACATTTTGTGGCAAAACCCAATGAGGCGCTCTTTGAAATTATGCGAATATTTTGACACATTTCCCAGATAGACGAAACTGTTCCAAGATTTTACATGTTTTCAACTTTTTAGAGGTTATGATTTCTGATAAAATCTAAATATTGAACAACTCTCAAGACGTTCCATCAAAAATGTTCTAATGAACAATGCTATAATTTCAACAATATCAGACAAAAATGTTCATCAAATTTTACTGGTTAACATTTGGTGGCAAAATCCATTGAGGCAAAGACACTTCGAAACGCCTTTTCGAAAATATTGCTAAACTTCGACAACAATTTTACATTTTTTCTTCTGCCCTTGAAAAGGTTAGGATTTCTGGTAAGAGATAATAAAAAATTGATTTCGAGATGCTGTAGCACAAAAATTCTAATAATTATTGCGGTATTTTCCATAGTATAAGAGATGTGCACGAAAACATTTATCAAATTTTGCTTGTATGTAGGTTAGAATTTAGTGGCTGCGAAAACCCAATGGGGCAGACACTCTATCGAAAAGTTCATGGAGAATATTCAGATGTTTTAGACTTGAGGAACTCAATGAATTTGTAGGAGTTGACGCAGTGCTGCGCAAATGCCTTGGTGCGCCAACCCGACGCACCGGCGCAGCAACTCGGTTCCGTTGCTGGGAAAATGTTGATGACCTTTTTACTTGCTTTTCATTTATTTTTTAAGGGCCGTTTATCAATAATAGTTTTAACATTTTTTCTAAATTTCAGAAATTTTCAGTTTTTTCTAAATGCTCTATTTTCTAAAGATTCTCTTAAAAATACTGACAATCTGAAGGTATTTTTCTCGAAAAATTATGAAATACATTTTATTAGAACACTCGCCTCCGTCACTTTGTAAAATTTTATTAAATCTCTTGCCAGCTTTGAATTTGGGACAAAATTCAAATAATTTTCCATCAAAAAACGAACCGAATAAGGGAAAGTTTATAATAAATTATTTGGAAAACTCGGGGCTTACATTGCTCTGAAGACTGTAGAGTTTGTTCAAAAAATGTGTTTTTTTACGAAAACTTTTTTGGGAGCCGATTTCGGGACAAAAACAAAAATAAATTTATCCGTTCCCGCAAATCATTAACATTTTCTCAAAAACCATCACAAAACTAAAAGTTTTTAATCAAAAACGCCAAAAAACATTATTTTCTTCTATTCTGACAAAAATTGGGTATTTTCAGCAAAAATGATAAAATTAATTTTGCTAGAAAATTCGCCTCATTCATCGGTTTGCAGGGCACTTTAGAAAACGCTTTTCAGCTTCCAATTTGGTACAAAACCAAATAATTTTATTCAGTTTTTTACCAAAAGCAATTAAGATTATCTTGAAAAAACGGTTCTTCTTTAAAGTTTCAGGTCATTACAGTTTTAGCAAAGTTTCTATTAAGCAATTCTTTCTAAGCAAAAAAAAAAACATATTATTTTTGCTTAAAATACTGACAGTCTTCACGTATTTTCTGTGAAAATTATAAAATACATTTTATTGGAACACTCGGCTCCTGAACAGCATTGTAAACTTTTTTAGCTTAGAATTTTGGACAAAACCCTAATAATTTTTTCCGGATTTTTCCCAAAAAATATTGTATATAATAGACTTTTGTCGCTGTGAATAATTTGGTTTATTTAAATTCTGGTTTCTTCACTTTTAGGTCAATTATTCTAAGCAAAACTATCTCTAAACAGAACAACGCGTTTTTTCTTAACGTTTTACTGTAAAATACTGACAAACTGAGAGTCTTTTATACAGAAAAGTTAAAAGATGGATTTTACAAGAAAAGTCGTCGTCTTTACAGTTTGGTCTTCTTTACCATCTTTTTTGAATACCCGTTTTACCTTTGAATTTGGGACAAAATCGAAACAAAGTTATCTTGTTTTTTCTTTTCGACAAAATTAGGTTTTTTCAAAAACCGGCCAGAGAAAGCAAAAGCATATAATCAATATTTGGAAAACGCGTCAGCCTCATAGCTCTGAAATTTTTTTAAGTTTCTTCAAAATCTGGTGATTTTTTCGTTTTGGACCAAGTTTCAAGCAATTGTATGCGCAAAAGCAATATGTTGATGGCCTTTTTTTGTTAGACGTTAAAATTCCGTCATCGGCCATAAGTCATAACTCATTAACCAATGAGTTAAAACTCTCGCAACTCCACACAGTGTTACTGGTGGAGTGACTGGATTTCGACGGGCCCTTAAAATTGTCAATTTGCCTTCGAACTTTTTAGAGGTTAGGTAGTGGGGATACCACTTAACACAGAAAAACAGTTTTTGAGACGGGCTATCGAAAAGCTCTTAAGAACTGATCGAAAATTTTCACAGCTTTTTGAGCTATCAATTGCTTAAACTTGGCCCTTGAATTTTAACATTTTTTGCTCCCAATTTTTTAGAGGTTAGGATTTTTTTGCTAGGATCTGAAAAATTCGGATCTGATTTTTGAAACTTTCGGGCCTAAGACAGCGTTGTCGATTGCCACTGCTCATTCAAGTGCCACTCAATAAACCATACGAGTCTAACCAGCAAAAATGTGTCAAAATAGCCGGTTCTATTTGATTGTTTTAAATAGTGGCAGTGTATTTTGCAACTGGGTTTAGTGTTTGTGCTTAGTGACTGTATAGAACAGTGACTCATTTTATCTAAAGCACCCCAAAAACCTTTGACCGATGTCCGCCCACTTCCAGTTCTGATATTTCCAATCAGGTCTGACTCACTCTGTATATGCGATATAAATAAATAAGGCTTGGCATTGATGCTAATTGTCTGGAGAAATCGTATGCATACTGGTAGTACACGGTAGTCCTAACCGATGTCTAATTTAAGGTCGCCTACTTACGTCCCGGAATTGGACAAGTCCCAGCTCCCCCAGCTCAGACACACAAGCATAAGCAGCCTCGCTTTGCAAAAACAGCTGGCACAGGGTCATTTCCGCGCTCCGGAATAGGGACCCCATTTTGGCAACCCGTTTGCACGACTCGCTCTTGGTCTAGAATTAACAATGGGGCACAATCAGAAGCAGCGCAGCACTAAACAGCCCGACATACAAGACCGTCTACGTTCGACAGAAATGAAAACGGCGAATGCATAGATCGATTGGATGGCGGATCGAGGATTTCATGGGGACGGGACATGCGCAATTTTTCCCTGTGACCGCGGTTCTTTAAATTCACCCGGCTTCAGCTAAGCGGGATTAATTGATTGACTAGACAAGTGTCCTGGAAATGTACACAGAAGACAGCTGTCCGGGACAGGACGGGAGCCAAACGTGGAATACCTTACTGGTTTATTTGTTCCGAGCCTGGTGCGGCCCTCTAGTAGCGCTTTGAGGCCACTAGGCAAAGAGCCCTGTTTTCTATTGAATGAGCACCAACAGAACCGCAGATCTGGTCCCGTTGTTTGTGCTATATTTTGGCGTGGTCACGTGACCAACGCTGACGTCACACGACTAGGCGCTAGAAACAGAACCTCCCTTTGCTTATTCCATAGTTTAATAATGGTTTAATACGTTACCTGGATATGCATTAGCGCTGAGAAAATTGTTAAAATATTTGATCTAAAATGGAGAAAACCGGAAATTTTGATAAAATTTGAAAATTTTGTATGAGAGTGATGAGTTTTCCAAATAGTGGATTATCTGCTTTTGCTTTCTCTGATCTTTGAAAAAATCGGAATTTAAATGAACCATATTATTCAGAGCGACAAAAGTGACGAGATTTCCGAATAATTGATTATAAACTTTCATTTGTTCTGTTTGGGGAAATATTTTTGGAAAAGACTTAGAAATAATTATTATCGTTTTGTCCATAATTCGAAGCTGCAAAACATTTTCAGGCGAAGACGACGCGTTAATAATTTTTCACAGAAAATACAGTTGTTCAGTGCGCTAAGTGAAGGGAAGACGTTTTTTAAAATTGCTCTTGTTTAGATCGCCTCAATTTAAATCTAATTGACAGTTTCGTGAAGCCGAAATTTCTCTCTTTCCTTCGGTGCATATGGGTTTATGGGGGAAGTGTTTGTTGCGAAGCAAATCGCTTTTGAATGTTCAGCAATTCTGGCATTTATCCGCCAAAACAACAAGGTTAGATTTCCATCGATGTTCAGTTGTTCAGTGCGCTAAGTGAAGGGAAGATGTTTTTGAAAATTGCTCCTGTTTAGATCGCCTCAATTTAAATGTAATTGACAGTTTCGTGAAGCCGAAATTTCTCTATTTCTTTCGGTGCATCGGGTTTATGGGGGAAGTGTTTGTTGCGAAGCAAATCGCTTTTGAATGTTCTGCAATTCTCACGTTTATCCGCCAAAACAGCAAGGGGAGATCCATCGATGTTCAGTTGTTCAGTGCGCTAAGTGAAGGGAAGATGTTTTTGAAAATTGCTCCTGATTAGAACGCCTCAATTGAAATGTAATTGACGGTTTCGTGAAGCCGAAATTTCTCACTTTCTTTCGGAGCATCGGGTTTATGGGGGAAAGTGTTTGTTGCGAAGCAAATCGCTTTTGAATGTTCTGCTATTCTCACGTTTATCCGCCAAAACAGCAAGGGGAGATCCATCGATGTTCAGTTGTTCAGTGCGCTAAGTGAAGGGAAGATGTTTTTGAAAATTGCTCCTGTTTAGAACGCCTCAATTTAAATGTAATTGACGGTTTCGTGAAGCCGAAATTTCTCACTTTCTTTCGGAGCATCGGGTTTGTTGCGAAGCAAATCGCTTTTGAATGTTCTGCTATTCTCACGTTTATCCGCCAAAACAGCAAGGGGAGATCCATCGATGTTCAGTTGTTCAGTGCGCTAAGTGAAGGGAAGATGTTTTTGAAAATTGCTCCTGTTTAGAACGCCTCAATTTAAATGTAATTGACGGTTTCGTGAAGCCGAAATTTCTCACTTTCTTTCGGAGCATCGGGTTTATGGGGTAAAGTGTTTGTTGCGAAGCAAATCGCTTTTGAATGTTCTGCAATTCTCACGTTTATCCGCCAAAACAGCAAGGGTAGATCCATCGATGTTCAGTTGTTCAGTGCGCTAAGTGAAGGGAAGATGTTTTTGAAAATTGCTCCTGTTTAGAACGCCTCAATTTAAATGTAATTGACGGTTTCGTGAAGCCGAAATTTCTCTCTTTCTTTCGGTGCATCGGGTTTATGGGGGAAGTGTTTGTTGCGAAGCAAATCGCGTTTGAATGTTCAGCAAGTCTGACATTTATCCGGTTATATTTATTTATCAAGGTTAGTTCTCTGCTGGATAGTTTAGAGTGTTGACAGTGCAGCTAATCAATTCCAAAGTAACCACAACCACAGTAACCACAGATGTGGTTTGCCTGGGGCAGTCCACCATTTCTTGACCCCGAAGGCCTAAAAGCCCGACATTCATCAGTCTCACTGATTGAAGCCAAGCACTTTTCTTGAAATGAATTTTTGAGCGATTCATGAACTGATGCAATTTGAACCTGTTAAAATCTAGTCGTTTAAAGCCGTTTGCCCACAAACGCTCCAAGTTAGTGTGATTTGAAAAAAACCGTATTCAATCGAACAGACGTTTATTACGAAATTTTCGGTCTAGTCAAGGGATCACATGCGTGCAGTCAATCCATCGGGAACAATTCTTGTTCAAGGCTGACTAAAATCCGATGGGCCTCAATCTTAACTTGAGCCTTGAAATAGTTGCGTTCGAACCAAATCACATCGAAAGATCATGCTTTCATTTGCAGTTATTTTCATAAATGTAGGAAGGGAACGCCCAGAAGTTGGGCGTTTTGTTCGTTGGCCAATTATGGATATGAAACTTCAGTCCTACCTCCAACAGGAACACCTTCTTAATGCTTCTTCAATAGTTGCCGCCCGTAGTTCATTGTGGGTATTTGGCCGTTGAGTGTCGATTGGCTTACTATTTTGCTGATTTTTAGCGTTTCAATATTTCAGAAAATTCACGACTATATTAGAGATTGGGAAAAATAGTGAGCAAATCGACTCTCAGAGGACTCAAAGTGCAAAGATTAAATCATTACTCATTTAATAGAGGTACTCTATTAAATGAGTAATTTATATTTATATATATTTAAGTTATGTTCCATTTAAGAAGACTTTACCCAAAATACCAAGCTTCAAAAATGAAAGTTTTCGGGAAAATCGAGCAAAAGACCAGTCGGAAAAATCTTGTCAAAATCAAGCTACAAAAAAGAAGCATTCATAAATTTTGACTGGTTTTATGTGAGTCCAGGAGC